ACACATTATATGACCCTGCTATAACAATTTAAATTGATCATCGTCAGCACTCCCCATATGCGGCCATTCTCTCTGTATTTGTGACCTTCAACTGCATATCCCAATCCAGAACTTTTTCAAATTTGCATCACGCTCCATTTTTTTAAAAATGGTCATCTGGACCAACATTTTCTGAAGTTACAGTTCCAGGTATTTTTTACCAACCTTGCAGACAGGACCAATGTTTTTAGAAAAATCTGCAGCTAATACCTGACCAGCACTGTATTCTGATATGCTGTACGTGTACTTAAAATAGCGGGCTCATATTTTAGCAGCTTTGGTGCATTTGAGAATGTGCTACTTCATGTATACCGCTAAGATATCATTTATAAATAGAATATATAGCACAAACATGTGTAGTGCTAATTCATGAATATGCCCACAACTCCATATCCATTGATTGTGCAAATTTTGAATACGCCAAATTACTCATATGTACACATGCAGTATTTCCTGTAGAAGCATAAATTTTCGTGGGCACAAAATTTTGTTGTTTTGTCCTCAAAAATAATTTTATTTCCTTTATTTCATTTATTTCCGTGTTTTAAAACTTACCCTTTTCAATAAATAGTCATATAAAAATTTGTGTGGGATTTATTTTGTTAACAACGAAATAAACTAAATTTAATCCCCCACAAATATTTGTGCTTTTACAGTATATATATTTACTTAATATATGAAATATAACTTGAAATTGCAACAAATTTGTTCATCTAGTGCTACGGGAAATTTAGGAAGATTGTAGCTTAAAATACAAGTGAAAATTTGACATTCCCAAGTAAATTATTGAGCTCACTAACATGATGGTGGATCTTAAACTCACTCATCTCTATATGATAGGTAAATAATCAACCTACAAAATAAAGGTTAAGAAGATCTTAATTATCAACATACAAATAAATCTTAAAAAGATCTTAAAAATCATGATAATCAACCTAAAAATAAAAGCAATAATAAGAGTATAATAATCAACCTACAAATAAAGGTTAAAAAATAATAGACCATCACTTGAAAGCATATTTTTCTGACAAGTAAACATAAGTTACTGACAAGTTGACTGAGATGACAGTGGTTTTCAGTTGAATGTATAGGCCTATAATTTAGAATTTAAGACTGGTTTCTTTGCTACATCTAGCATCAGAATGTCTATCCATCTTTTACGCTTTGGCATAACCATCTTTTATCCGCAACTCCGCTTACACTACTGATTAAATTTCATTGAAACTTCACACATTCTTTGTTACATAGTGTCATGGTGCACTTCCCATTTTACTTTTTGAATGGACATATATTTCAGATTTCCCATAACAAAACATGGCACTACCATTTTTTATAATATTGAAGGGTACCTATCATTCATCCGCAAACAAAAAAATTAATGGTATTTTCACAGACTCTTAATTATACATAATGCCATTGCACACCACTTATTTTGTCTTCTGACGCTTATTTCATTTGTTTATACTGCCATTTTGGTTTGTAAAATTATTCGGTCAAACGCACTTAGTCAACTAAGAGAGTACTTCATAATGATAAACAGTCTAGACAAAGTCCAAAAACAGCGTGAACTCCATGAAAAAAGTCTTTGGCTCTGTCATGCATTGTGGCAAAATAGTGTTCAATGTAAACAATTAAACAATGGATTGCTGTTCGCTCTCTCTAAATATACGACCGTATTATGGCTATATTTTGTAAACTGTGACTTTTTAAAAAAAATTGTTGAATAAATAATACCACTTATTAAGTTATTTAGTGGATATTGACTTATTTATCCCTTTGTATTCTTACCTAATAGTGATTTTGAATACACAACATCGGATTCAAGTCTGCCAGTGAGAATTATTAATTTCTCTACTTAATTTATTGTCTCATTGATGCTGTACCTACACATGCTACAATAAATGTTTAAATTTTACTTCCAAGACACCAAGATCGTCTTACTTTATCAAAAAATGCACAGTTTTCGCCGCGGGGGAGACATATTAAGAGGGTCACTTTGAGAAGATTTTTTTTAAACGGTGATTTTTTTATGTTCTCAAATTGATAGATTATATACTTTGGAAAAATGTGTTCATGATAAAATCTGTTCATATGTGATGTTAAATCGGTAAAGGATGACGCTCTCAATTCAGATGGTTTAGGCCCTGGTGCACTTTAAGCAATGATTGTTGCCGAGCTGTGGCAATCGTAGCTGATGAATATTGCAGACGAAAAGTGGTTAAAGTACAATTCCATTGTGTGTGTATCCATCGTATCCTATAGTATCGTGTGTTCCGTTTATTTGGTTATGCGTTTTCTATCGTGTTTTGCATTGATTGTGTTTTGCCATTATCATATAGTGCATGTATCCTATCGTTTAATGCGTGTACATCCTATCGTATCGTGTATCCTGTAAAAAATAAGGATGTGGGTACTGTACATCAGAGAGGGTGTATCACATACAATAAAGGCCCTGATACATCGTATTTATCTACTTGTAAATAGCTGTTTCAAGAGAGAGGCCCCTGTGCCATTTTAATAAACTATCTGAGCTGAATAAATATATAAAATATATTAACTAGAACTGTCCAATAGGGACAAATACCCCCGCTGGGTTTTTCAGAGTATGTGCCAATTCAGAAATATTTTATGGATCTAGTAAGAGGTATTCATTATTGTCTAATAAAGTGCCTCGCCACAGCATGATACGCCCATCAAATATTGTTCGATAATCATAAATTGGTTAGGGTGCAAGAAAATTAAGTAATCTTAATTAACAGATCGACACAGATTTCACTGATCTAATTTCCATTTCTTATCATGTTTAAAATATTGTACATACATCTCTAAGAGACTTACAGTGTAGGGATTAATTAAAACAAATAATACATCATATAATTCTAAACTGGCTGTGTTAGAGCTTAACAAATATCCATCTGTAGCTTTAAATTGTTTATTGCATATTTTATGAAATAGTGGAAATGCTACAGTCTAATAAAAAAATCAAAAATTAACTATTCTTTAGACTATAAAATTCTAAGTGAGACATGACTGCAATTTGTTGCAAATAAATAAAAATTGAAATGTATTTTTTTTTCAATGAACACATGTATAATTAATTTTAATTATATTATACAATACTAATTCAGTTTTAATCATACACTAAAACATCAATTTGTTTTAATTACATTACACCAACTGAAAGATCTTTATCTGAACTACAGCCATCAAGAACTCTTAATTAACACAAGCAACTATAAGGCCATTTCTTTTTGCCCAACTCCCAAGAGATAAATTAAGATAAGATCTAGAGATGCTCTTGCTAGTTAACTCCCGACAATGAACTCATTAATTTCTCTCTAATTTGACATGCACATTTCTGCTATCAAAAATTCTCCTTGACCAGTGCTTGATAATTATGCCCATGGGACAAACTGAATTCCTCTCAAATCATTAACATTTGTTATAGAATTTGCTGTAAAGTATATGATAAAAAATAAGTTTTTACTTAATTTAGCATTTTTTAATAAGGATACAACTATATTTTTACATTTTTTAGGATTATGAAATTTAAAATTTTAAAGACAGCTTTTTTTAAAAAATCACTTAAATTAAAGGTCACAGTGACCTTGAAATAGGTCGTGAAACACCGTCTACCCAAGATGCATAAATTACCCAAGTTTGATGTTTGTAAGTCTAATAATTTTTTAGTTATGAACCAAACAAAATCACAAAATAAAAAAGAAAAAAACGCCTGTAAAATGCAGAAAAATCATCCAATCATGATGAAAATCCCAGGTGCACACCTTCATATGGTGAATAAAAAGTGTATGAATTTTCAGACAAATCCACCCAACAGTTTCTTAGAAACGGTCCGGACAAAATCTTGTCTACAGACAGACGGACAGACAGATGGATATGGTGATTTCAATATACCCCCTAAACTTCGTTTGCAGGGGTATAAAAACATGATACTAAATACTTATGTTCACTTTTCAAAGGCATTGAAAAAATTCATATGTATCAGAGCGATCGAAACTGCTAGTTTTTGTAATATATTCCATGCTTTTCATCTGATGTAGCTTTGTACATATTGTAGTTATAAATACATGAATCTTTATTTCTATTTGGCAACCTTACCACTACACAATACCATTGGTGAAGAGTGTTTATTTCCCACCAAATTAATACTTCCAAGAAAAAAAAAGAAAAGAAAAAACTGCATGGTATTCAAACTTAATGTATCTACCTAGGATACTTTACATTTAAATCAATATTTAAAGCTGAACACGACTCGTAAATAGGCATACGCCATTTTTGATAGCATTATCTACGATACATCAATACAAGGGTATACTCATCGCATTCGTTACACCTGACTGCTTTGCTGTCACGGGTATCAGCGTGGAATGGCGACCCGTGTTAATGCTGTTTATCTTGCATTGCCTTTGTTTATATCTTATTGCAGTTACGTTTTTCTGTGTTGTTTGTTTACTGCACTGACTATTATTGTAAATTTATTTGGTATCTGACTTTCCTGCATTAGACGAAGTATTACGTTATCATTCTCGCTACCGAGTCCTGTGTATCATACGTCCGTCTACACCAGAGTCCACTGATTACACTGACCATTGACTGAGTTCTGCCCTATTTATAGGGGTTTGCAGAGCTGCCAGACTCGGGAACAAAAATGGCGGACACATTCCTTTTACAAATCGTGTTCAGCTTTAAAGCCACAGTCCTATACACTTGGACTTTGTCAAATTTCTCCCAGAAACTATAAAGTAAGGTTTTAAATTTTTTGTTTCTTTTTTTTCTATCGATATTAATCCAATGAGCAGCGAGTTTTTTTTTTTTTTTGTCAATTTTTTTTTTAAATGAAAATATTTCTAATATTTGAATTATAACTGCATGAATTTTATTTAAATATATTAAAGCTATGCAAGGCATCACTGCCTGTAGATAACTTCAATGAATACATTGAAAAAAAATGCTTTCCTCTGCAGCCAGACACATTCGTGGATATATTCTTTTAGCAATCCCCATTAAATTTGCAATAAACATTAAAATAATCAATAACATGCAGAAATTTATAATTAATAACTCTTTATTAAGATAAAAGTACCAATTATTCCTTAATTAAGGAATATCTCCTCCTCAATTTTGTGCTAATGACTTCAAATATTACTTATCTAAAAACAATTCTCACTTCCCACTCATACAATTTTTTGTAAGAAAAATTCTCAAAAAGGTTTGCTTTAACATCTCCTAGCACACACAGTGACATGAGATCGCATCGTGCATTGCAATAAGTTATTTAAGTCCAACAATAAACTGGAATTCATCTTAGTTTATACATCTGTGTTTCCATCGTTAGTACTTGTGCTGTTCTGGTCAGCCCTGTTTAATTAGATGAGTTAGATGACGGTCTCTGTTTGTGGATACTTGGGACGTACTGAGCTGTCTCTGGACGCTGTGACGTAAATGATGATGTCGGCCATGAACCTGTGGATCCTATATATAAATAAGCTGATTTTTAAATATATTTAAAGTTTTTTTTAAGAAACAAAAAAATAATCATCAATTGTAAGATGCTGCTGTTTGTTATTTAAAATTCAAACTCCATGGAGAGAGAACTACACATCAAAATCTTGAAAGCAAAATAAATGGAATCTTACAGGAAGCATTATGCATGGATTCTGAGCTAAAGACAATTAATTCACACAGACAGGTGATTACTTATGTTCATTTCAAAATTAACCTGGGTCTTAGCTTTTGTACAGTTAGTACAAGTACAATCATACAGATGACTGAAGGAAAAATGTAACATTTTTTTTTCTTTTTCAACATATAATTGAAGGAGGTTGGGGTCAAAAATTAAATTATCAGATATAACTTATTTTTTTATTTGATATCTCAAGTTGTCAACTTTCATTTGTCAAAGATCAGTTTCATATATACTGAAAGGAAAAAGAAACGCAGGGTAGCATAATGTTCGAAAAAATTTTGACCACATGACCGAAAATTACGAAAATTGGTCAGAAGAGAAATTTAGTTACTGTGCACCAAAAACACTATTCAGAATTACTCAACCGTAAAATTTATGACGTCACGTAGAGAAAACGCTAAAAGGCCCAATACACATGCAATTTGATAACGAAGAGTTTGTCAACAAATCTTGTAGCATTATTTGATGCATATGAGGTATGCACATCATTTTTCAATATTTGGAGACATGATGAATTTCTTGCAATCTTGGCACAGTTTATGGAAGTTCAATGGGGTCTTTTTTTCGAATTGCCTAATTAATGAAGAAGGCAACAACGGTTTACTGAGCAGTTTCTTGTAAATTTCCCCCCATAAAACGTGTTACCCCTTGTCAAAGAAGGTCTGGAATGGATTTCAATCAACCGTGACGATCACGTTAACGCGAAACAAAGCCAAGTTACGAGCGGGTTATTCGTCCTGCCATCTCTTAAGTCGCCATCTTGCTACCACTAAAACAGTCATTTATACAGTAGACGATTATAATCATTACATTCATATGGAATTTGAAAAGAAAACAATTCCGCAACTTGGTTTTTTGAGCCAGTCAACTTACTGTTGAATTCCTCTCACTGGCGCATGTGCACGCCGTTCAACTTATTTTTTGCGTGGTTAACCATGCCAAATATAGCCAGGGTTTGAAAGATAAACACTCTGAAGAAATCCCATGCGAAGGAGAAATAAGGCTCTGACAGATGCACGGGAGAGACATTGAAGATATTGAGAGTTTTCGATTGTCACTTTGGGGGGGGGGGGGGGGGGTATCGTCATTTTAGCTTCAATAATTCATAAATTATTAGACAAAATAAAATGGGAATTTGGTTATATATCTTTGAAAGATGATTTTAAAAGTTAGATAGGAAAACTAAATTATATTTAAAAAAAAAACAAATTTATTTCACCTCAAAAGTTTACCCTGTGTTTCTTTTTCCTTTCAGTATATTATAGATTTTATATGGAGTTCTTTTTTTAAGACCAATGTAGTCTAAGAATGGCCACAACCACCCAGCTCTCTTAAGATTTTAATTTACCAGAATCTGTACTATGTATAGAAGATTCCATCATAGCCTTCTCTGCTGACATGGCTTCTAACTTCTCCTTGTAGAAACCATTGAAATCCAGTCTATAAATATAACATAAACAATTAGCTACTCCTTGTTGAAAGCATTGAAATCCAATCTATACATACACAACAAAGTAAATAACTGAACATGATTTGTTCCTAAAGAAGAACTCTTTACTGGTTAAAAAAACAGTTTAACAGGAAACTTGAATTGCTGGTACATGTACTTTTCAATACCTGAATAGTTTATATTTTTACAAAAGAAAAGTTTATACAATGAATTCTATTAAATGAATCTTAAGGAAAATTAAAGATCCATTGTTTCTTTTACTTTCTTACTATGTTTCCTTTCATTTCTTAACTAACCTGTAGAGAATGTTAAGCAGTTTCAGGTGTCCACTTTCTGAACTCAGGTCCATGATTTTCCTCAGTAAATCTATCAGTTTGCCTGAGAAGTTGTGGTCAAAGTTTGCAATTGTCCTCTCAAAGTTCTCACTGGCCATCATTAGATCTACATGCTCTGCAACAACCTATCAATTAAAAGGCACGTACACTTACTTCAATTTCTGTGATTGATAAATCAAAACAATAAAATGAAAGTAAGAAAGTTTAAAATAAACCATCATTTAGCAAAATAAGGATTTATGAATACAAATTAGAACGTTAAGATCAAATTGCACATCCTGTATTCATCTTCCAGTATTGGAATAAGTAAGTTCTTTGCCTGTTTTTTTAGAAGAATTCTCAACAAAGTGATCAAACCAAAGAGTAAATGCTACATATTTAAAATAGTTGAAGATTTTAATGTTAAAATAGGTGACAGTTTAGAGGTATAACCTCTGGTCAAACATATTATTCCAGTAAATAACATTTAAAATATGTCCTTAAAATATGTCCTTTAGGAAATCTAATTCATAATCTTAAACATTCGTTCTGTTTTGTGTGATAGTTGGTTTTTTTTTAATAATCTACAATATACAATGTACATTCATCAAACCTTATCCTTTTATTCAATTAACAAATGTTCACTATGAAGAAATATGTCCCTGAAGAAATATGTCAGCCATCATACATATGATATACAAGTGTGTATTTAATATTGGTGTTCTTTCTGCCCACAAACCAAACATGCTCAAAAAATTGGAAACATATGTCCACATTTAATAGAGCCAAACCATAAATAAAGCAAATCAATTTTACAAATTTCATTTACAACAATGACCTTTTTTGAAAAATAATTCTGACAAGTTTTATATACGTACATCAAATATTATGACTAAATGAGTTCATGGGTATTTAGGATAAATATATGGTGAGCTAAGATATTCATTTGTGAGTTCACCAATTGGTGACTGGGTGATTTTTTTTCAGTGCCTCCCACCAGTAATTGAATCATCCCTTTATCTTATAAATCATTATAAAAGTGTATGTATATGCATATATCAGTCATGGATGCCCCCTTTAGAACTGCAAACCACGGTATAATTTCCAATATCGTGCTCACAAGATAGATATAATTTGTATACATGTACTCATTTTCTTTTTTTAATTAAATACTCACTGTCCTGTCATTTACCAGCTGTAGGAAATATTTTTAATGTTAAGAATTCTAATAATCTAAAGGAATCATATGTTATATTTTAATCCCAAAGTATAGTTTAATTTTCTTTAAATTTTGAATAAATTAGTAATAAGATTATTGTAATCTTTGTTTTAAAAAAGAAAGAAAAAAAGAGAATTATGTTCACTTTCCATATCACATACTTTGTTGATATAAATGTCAATATTTTTATTAATATAAAGTTTGTTAAAACAGTTGAATTGAAGAACAGCTCATAAATTTCTGAACAAGTCACCATACCTAAGCTGAAAAGGGGAAAGGTTAAAATTACTACATCATGAAAATAAATGAGAAAGTCATGCTAAGAGAGATCTTTACATAATTTACATTTGGTAATTGCCTGGCTTGAGTTTGGATTAAAAAAGAATGAGAAATGTCTAGAACTAAGGGTTTAATATGAAGGTTGAATAATGTTATGTTAAAATAATGATACAGGTAAACTTACATCCATGTTGTATGAGAGAAACTTCTAACAAAGGTAAAGTCAATAAGTCACAAATGTACTTCAGATGCTGCTTTGGTTCAAACAATATAATGACAGACAGGTATTTATATGTACATTTTAGAACAAGGATGTACAAGTAATACAATTTAAAAATCAGGATATACATTTTTATTGTTTATTTTCTAATTATATGACAGCTGTTTATTGAAATCTTACTTTATATTTTAATGCTATACAGTTAAACCTTGTTATCCTAAACTCAACAGAACCCGAAAAATATTTCAGATATCCAAGGATTCAAGATACCAAGGTTAAAATGCATATGGTAAATGTGAATGGGAACTGGCAAAACATGGCTGAAGACACAAGAACAAGAATATGATCGTCTACACTTAATTTGTCATTTTCTCAAGTCTTAACAATTAGCAAGAAAAAAATATTAAATTAAAATGTTTTGACATCTTACAGTGATATTGGTAAGTAATGATTTTGAGTTAGAAAACATACCTTTGCTTAGACTTTTTCTTTGATGCTATTACTCTCAATGTTGAAATAATTTCTTATTTTTTTTAAATACATGAACATTAATAAATTTTTTTTTAAAATACAGTACCGACCAGACCCAACCTGACACCAAAGCAGTCCCAGAAAGCATTCCCCGGGACTGCTTTGGGACCACTCTGGGACTGCTGTGGGACTGCTCTGGGACCGCTGTGGGACTGCTCTGGGACTGCTCTGAAAAGCAGTCCCAGCAGTCCCAGCTGCCTTGGGACTGCTTTCTGGGACTGCTTTGTTCACTCATGTGTGAAAAAGGTTCTGAGTGACAGTAATAGCTCCGCCCCTTGTGTATTCTGAATTTGCAGGCTCCCTGTTGTATTGTTTACTTGCAGTAGAGATAAGTTTAAACTGTTTAATTTGCAAGGATTTCTTACATTCTCTTATTACGTAGAGATTATTATAGTTAATTAATATTTTCAGGGACTGTATGCTTACACAAATTAATGTATTATAGTTTAGAATAAATAAAAAAAAATTATTAAATAAGGAAGTCATGGGAAAATTTTTATCCCTAACAATAAACTAAAGGTTTATTTAAAAAAAATAGCTAAATGTGGGCCTTTTTTAATTATCTATTGTAAAACTATTTACTCAACATTTGCATTGGTACTATTTAAAAATAATTATTACATGTACAGTTAGGTAGATATAAGATTTCTTGATTGAAAAAAAGCTACACGTTTTTCAAGTACCACGCTAAAAAAGGAGTATTCAATGTAACCCTCAAATAAAACATAACAATTTATAAAATGACCATAAAATAAAATTATGCTACCATTCTTCCGTAACATAATCAATGTGAATAATCATTGGGGAATTAATTAATGAATAACCGGTAGCTTTTAATTTATAAACAAGTTATTAAAAGAGTACATTTATTAAAAGAAAAAATTGAAAATGCCGGGAATTGTGATTTCTTTCTTTCTTTGTTTTGGAAGTATTTACCCGGCCGATTAATGTTTATTAAATGGTATCAACACCCATGGTTTCAATCGCATTTGGGCAAAAAATCAAAGCGTGTTATTTGGGTAGTTGTATCAGAGTTACACATCATTGAACATACTGGTAAACAATGACTCTAATTTCAGTTTATGTATTGTGAAAAAATGTGGTAAATGAAATGTGTATGAATTTCTTTTGGGAATAATTAATTATGAACATACTTCCATTCTGGTGATTTACAGATGTACACTCTAACATTTATAAATAAAAGGGAGGTCAACATTACCGCTACATTGCCAAAAATTTCAACTCATTACCGCTACATTTTGTCAGATTTTCGACCGATCATTACCGCTACATTTTTCCGGCAAAAAACAACTCATTACCGCTACATACTGAATCAGCCAAAAACAACTCATTACCGCTACATATCGATTTAGCCATTCGGCTTACGGCAAATATTAGTAATATTCTTTATCACAAAAGGGTCCAGTCTTGTATTCCACCATATTTCAAGTTAAAGACTACGCCTTGTATTTCCTACAAATATACATCGACCATTGCTTCCAAACTTTTCAATTACAAAAACACTTTACATGGCCTTGATATTGACTATCTGAAAAATTATCCCCTTTCGTGTTCATGTTCTTCTTCGCCCTATAACTATAGTCCTGCTGGACACGTTATTACAGGTGACGTAAAAATAGTTCGTAATGAGGACCTTAAATCACTTATTTTAAAAGGTCCTAAATATAGGGAACCCCGATCCTTCAACTGGCGTCGGAATTTCAAAAATATTATGGATTCTGTTGAAAATTACGCCAGACGATGGGCTAAATATGAAAAAGAAGACATTGACACCTAATGTCAGAATGGATTAAATGTATCAGATCCATGTTAAAGTCACGTATTAAAAGATTGAGGGGCAAAGTGAAAACCATCTATCCTTCTGTGTTCAATAAACCAGAAGTGAAAAAAGAATTAGATAGATTACACGATCAGTACGTACTGGTTCCTGCCGACAAAGCAGGTAACAACATTGTCTTCGTTTGTAAGGCTCATTATATAAATTGCATTCTAGAAGAACTTGGATTTAATTCTACAAGTGGTAATCCTACTTATACATATATTTCTCTTTCTAAGGAAGAAATTCTTCAGAATCACCTGTCAGTATTGAATACTTTTAATATTCCACAGAGCCAAAATGAATTTGAACTGCCTTATATATATTGGATTCCGAAACTTCATAAGAGTCCTTACAAACAAAGATACATTGCAGGTTCCAGTAAATGTTCAACCAAGCCTCTTTCGTTACTTCTCACTAAAATATTGACAATAGTGAAGGAAAAAGTGTTAAAATTGGTGCATGTTCTTCTGATATCTTACCTATCACAGCAGGGGTGCCCCAGGGATCTATTTTAGGTCCACTGCTATTTTTATTGTACATAAATGACCTCCCCCTATGTGTCAATCACTGTAATATTGATATGTTTGCAGATGATGCAACTCTGCATTTATCTGATAACAATGTACATAATATTGAAACATTTTTGAATTATGATTTATGCGAAATTGAAAACTGGTGTTTACAGAACCAAATGATTCTGAACACGAACAAATCAAAATCTATGCTTATGTGTACACAACAAAAAAGGTCAAAATTAGATATTCCAGAACTTAATACAGAAATATCTGGAGAAAAGCTTGAAAATGTTAATGTTGAAAAACTCTTAGGTGTCTATATAGATCAAAATCTTCATTATATTTATCATGTAGATTCAGTTTGTAAATCCTTAACATACAAGTTATTTACACTCCGTAAAATTAAGAAATTTCTTCCATTAAATACCAACACAAACAATCACATGTGCATTGCAATGGGTCATTTACATCCAACAATGAACTTGAATATAACTTAGTTTATTAATCTCTTTCCATTGTTAGTGCTTGTGATATTCTGGCCAGCCCTGTTTAACTAGATGAGTTAGATGACGGCCTTTGTTTGTGGATACTGGAGATGTATTGACAGTTAACTAGATGAGTTAGATGACGGTCTTTGTTTGTGGATGCTGGGGACGTACTGAGCGGTCTCTGGACGCTGTGACGTAAATGATGACGTCGGCCATGAGCCTGTGGATCCTATGAATAAACAATGATTATTTGTAAAATATATGTTATTATGAGTTTTTAAAATTATCATCAATTGTAAAATATTGATGTTTGTTATATTTATTTTTCTATCACACTCCTGCGAGATAGAACTATTTTTCCACATCTATTTCCAGGAGGCTAGGGCTCAACACTTTACTCATCAGATATACTTATTTTTTTTTTAGATTTTTCACAGAAAATTACCGTATAAGTAGAATTTTAAGCAAGGATTTAATTTTGGCATTATTAGAGAGGGTGTTGACATTGTTAAAATTTAATATCGTTAAAAATTAGTTGCGTATTATTTGTAATAGCTTCTTTTTTTAGCATTTTAAAATCGCTAAAATTACTTCTCGCTAAAAAATAAAGTACAACATTTCAGGTAGAAATCGCTAAATTTGCGTCTCGCTAAAATTTCCACTTATACGGTAGTACAATTAAGCTTAAAAACTTGACAATTTTTGTATACCACTCCATGGAACTCTTCATCTTAAAGAGATAAATTTAGTCTAAAATAGCCACAACTACCTAACTCTCTCAAGGTTATACTTTACCAGAATCTGTACTGTGTATAGAAGATTCCATAATAGCTTTCTCTGCTGACATGGCTTCTAACTTCTCCTTGTAGAAACCATTGAAATCCAGTCTATAAATAAACAATTAACTTCTCCTTGTAGAAACCATTGAAATCCAGTCTATAAATAAACAATATACAATTAACTTCTCCTTGTAGAAACCATTGAAATCCAGTCTATAAATAAACAATTAACTTTTCCTTGTAGAAACCATTGAAATCCAGTCTATAAATAAACAATTAACTTCTCCTTGTAGAAACCATTGAAATCCAGTCTATAAATAAACAATTAGCTTCTCCTTGTAGAAACCATTGAAATCAAGTCTATAAATAAACAATATACAATTAACTTCTCCTAGTAGAAACCATTGAAATCCAGTCTATAAATAAACAATTAACTTTTCCTTGTAGAAACCATTGAAATCCAGTCTATAAATAAACAATTAACTTCTCCTTGTAGAAACCATTGAAATCCAGTCTATAAATAAACAATTAACTTCTCCTTGTAGAAACCATTGAAATCCAGTCTATAAATAAACAATATACAATTAACTTCTCCTTGTAGAAACCATTGAAATCCAGTCTATAAATAAACAATTAACTTCTCCTTGTAGAAACCATTGAAATCCAGTCTATAAATAAACATTTAACTTTTCCTTGTAGAAACCATTGAAATCAAGTCTATAATTAAACAATATACAATTAACTTCTCCTTGTAGAAACCATTGAAATCCAGTCTATAAGTAAACAATAAACAATTAACTTTTTCTTGTAGAAACCATTGAAATCCAGTCTATAATTAAACAATATACAATTAACTTCTCCTTGTAGAAACCATTGAAATCCAGTCTATAAATAAACCATAACTATTTGCTTTATAAATGAACCATACAGTAAATACATGCAATTTTGTACATGACTTATCTGAAAATTTAAAATATAACCATTTTTGAATGTGTTTCAAAACAGTTTGACAGAAAACTTCGATTGCTGGTACCTTTTCAATACCTGAATAGTTTATATTTTACAAAAGAAAGGAAAATTACAAAGCTCCTTTCTTGATTATTATCAAAGCATAATGGGAAGTTAAAAATAAATACAGGATCCCTTGTTTGTTTTACTTTCTAACTATGTTTCCTCCATTTCACTACTGACCTATAGAGAATATTAAGCAATTTCAAATGTCCACTTTCTGAACTCAGGTCCATGATTTTCCTCAGTAAATCTATTAGTTTGCCTGAGAAGTTGTGGTCAAAATTTGCAATTGTCCTCTCAAAGTTCTCACTGGCCATCATTAGATCTACATGCTCTGCAACAACCTGTTAATAAAAAGGTAAATACAATTATTTCCATCTCTGCAATTGATAAATAAAAACAATTTAAATCATTAAAAATGTTCCATTTCTAGGGATGATAATTCAAAACAATAAAATAAAATAAATTTTAAAAAAGTTTAAAACAAAGAAAGGATTTATGAGTAGAAGATTGCACATCTTGAATTCATCTTCCGGTATTGGAATAGGTAGGTTCAATGTGACAGTCTGATTTTTAAAAGAATTCTTAACAAAGTGATCAATCCAAAAAGTATAAAGCAATAACCCCTGATCGAACATAATATTATTTCCGTCAATAACTACTTTCAATATAGCCTTTATGCATAATATCACATAATCAATGATAAACATTCGTTCTGTTTTGTGTGATAGTTTTTATGGTAATCTTCAATGTACCATGTTAATTCATCAAACATAGAAAGTATGACTACTTCTGCACCAAAGTCATTATCCTTTGATCCAATCAACAAATGTTCACCATGAAGAAATATATCCCTGAGTCAGCAATCATACATATGATATACAAGTGTTTATTTAACATTGGTGTTCTCTCTGCCTACAAACCAAACATGCAAACGAAATTGGAAACATTTTTCAACATATAATAGAACCAAAACGTAAAGCAATTTAATTTAAAATTTCATTTACAACTATGAACTTTATTAAAATAATTCTACAAAGTTTTATATACATCAATATTATGACTAAATGAGGTCATGGGTATTTAGGATACATTAGGTGAGCTAAGATATATTTGTGAGTTCACCCATTGGTGACTGGGTGATTTTTTTCAGTGCCTATCACCAGCAATTGAATGATTTGAATCATCCCTTACCCTTATGAATCATTATATTATAAAAGTGAATGCCTATGCATATAACAATCGTGGATGCCAGAATTCCAAATGACAGTATAATTTCCAATATTGTGCTCACAAGATAGATATAATTGGTACACATGTATTCATTTTCTTTTTTAATTAAATACTTACAGTCCTGTCATTTACCAGCTGTAGGAAATATTTTTAATTAATGTTTAGAATTCTAATAACCGAAAGGAATCATATACAGTAGAAGTACATTTTTCCGCATGGTATTAATTTACGCTATGTGTGTGGTCACAAATTAATATTCATGTGATGTTTCGCGGAATAATGACCACGTGTAGTATGCCTAATACTTTTATCCCAACTTATTGTTAAATTTTCTTTCAATTTTGAATAATTTAATGATAAAATAAGAAAGATAAAAGAGAATAATATTCACTTTTCATAACACATACTTTGTTAAATATAAATGTCAATTATTTTATTGATATTAATTTTGTTAAAACAGTTGAATTGAAGAACAGTTCATAAATATCTGAACAAGTCACCATATTTAAATTATAGAGGGAAAAGATAAAAATTACTACTTGATAAAAATAAATGAGAAAGTCATGCTAAGAGAGACCTTTGTATATTCATATGTACAATCAACTGGCTTGAGTTTGGATTAAAAGAGAAAGAGAAATGACTAGAACTAAAGGTTTAATATGAAAGGTTGAATAATGTTATGATAAAATATGATTTACAGGTAAACTTACATCCATGTTGTATGAGAGAAACTTCTAACAAAGGTAAAGTCAATCAGTCATACAAGTATTTTAGACACTGCTTGGGTCCAAATAATATGACAGAAAGGTATTCATATGTACGTAACATAACAATAAAGTGACTGTACATGTAATGCACAATTCAAATCTCAGGATATATGACAGCTGTTTATTGGAATATTACTTTTAAAAATAAATTATATATCTAATTTCTTACACAGTTAAACTTTGTTATCTTAAACTCAATAGAACCAAGATAATTCTTTTAGATATCCAAGGATTTAAGATTCCAAGTAAATGTGATTAGGAACTGGCATTACCTGACTGAAAATGCACAAAGATAAATACAATTGTCTACCATTAATTTGTCATGTTCTCAACAATTAACAATTGACAAGAAAACATTAAATTAAATTCAAATGTTTCGACAGTGATAATTGTCAATGATAGTTTGAGAGAGATAACATACGTTTCTTTAGAGTATCTCTTTGATGTCACATTGTATTTTTTCACAGTATTATACACAATGTTGGAATATTTTCTTATTATTCGAAATGTATGAACATGAATAAAATTCTTTTCCTACACCTCTAACTCATGAAGTAATAACCACATTGGAATCTTACTTTATTTCTCAAACTGCTCATACAGCTAAATCTTATCTCAATCTCATAGAAAAGAAAAATCTTTCAGATATCCAAGGATTCAAGATACTGAGGTAAAAATACATAAACCAAAAGTGATGGGGATTTGTAATTTACTTCCACTTATCACTCTGGGATTTTTTTCACTGTGATTTGTGAATGATAAAGAAATACTTTACCTTTGTTTTGAGTTTTATTCATTCTGTGTTTTTCCACTGGATTCAGTAAAAGATTAATACAAAATACCTTTGTTTTGAGTTTTATTCATTCTTTGTTTTTCCATTGTATTCAATAGAAGAATTAGACAAGATACCTTTGTTTTGAGTTTCTCTTTGATGGCCTGCTCTCTGTGTTCTTTACTGATGACCTGTAGAGAACTCTCTCGTGTTGGTTTACTCTCTGGTTCTACAGCTGTGCTCAGACCTACTTTGTTTTGAGTTTCTCTTTGATGGCCTGCTCTCTTTACTGATGGCCTGTAGAGAGCTCTCTCGTGTTGGATTACTCACTAGTTCTGTACTCAGACCTACCTTTGTTTTGAGTTTTTCTTTGATGGCCTGCTCTCGGTGTTCTTTACTGATGGCCTGTAGAGAACTCTCTCTTGTTGGTTTATTCTCTAGTTCTGTACTCAGACCTACCTTTGTTTTGAGTTTTTCTTTAATGGCCTGCTCTCTGTGTTCTTTACTGGTGGCCTGTAGAGAACTCTCTCGTGTCGGTTTACTCTCCGGTTCTACAGCTGTGCTCAGACTCAATCTCTGTTTGAAATTAATGTAAAGTTACTGGTAAATTACATACATATTTTAATTTTTATTAGAAAGACAAAGGTCTTTACCAACTGTATAATTTATAATATTGAATAGACATTGACTATTGTGCTTATTAATTAAGTGGATGCAGTTTTATAACCCTTTTAAGCCAAAATCTTATTATTAATCAATAAAGACAAATCTCTGCTCCTTACAGGAAGAAGATTGTGGATCTTTAACAATGTTAACAATTTCAATGTTTCGAACTTTTTAGGTATGATTGACAAGAGTAACCTGTATGATTTAGAAGTGTTACCTGTATGAAGTTGGAGAATGTGACACACACCACCATCAGTTTGTGTACAATCCTCAGAAGGTCGGGGTCTGTTAACATACAGTCATTCATACAGGTGTTCAGGAAATCAGCGTGGTACGCCAACACGTCATCTATGTTAGACACCTATCAAGAAAATTGTTAATGTACAAAAATTTCATTTTCACTTTGATGTTTAATGTTTGGTTAGTTTATTTAAGGAGAGCTTTCCTAATTAACTTTTTCTATATACACAAACAGCAATTATAAGGTTTTTACCTTGTTGAAGCATGTAAAATAAATTACTGATGTATAAGATATTTATGAGTCATCTGAGGCCATTTTTTCACTGTCACTAATCAATGATCATAATGCCTTACATTTTCCATGTTCTGCTGGAACACAAGCCAATTTTGTTCTACCACCTCAAACATCATGTAGTACTCAAAGTTCTGGACAAAATTGAGCATCCTCTGGCGGAGAGCGAAGGCGGCCAGGTACCACTTAGAGGAGTGGAGAGAGTACATCTTGGCTGCCTTGTTACCGATCCAAACACTGGCGGGGAGAATAAAAGGTACAATATAAAATGTCACAGTTCCAAACAAAGACAAAATATTTCAGATGTTGCCAAACCACACATTGATATACAGAAAAAGAATAAAATTCAAATTTTGAAAGATGAAATAGATCTTGATATTGTGAGTATACAAGACCAATTGTTCATTTCATATCCTTTTTTTACAATTTTGAAAAATGAACTTGTTTAAATTTATGATAGAGTAAATTTTCTAATGCATGCCTGTAATAACTTAAGTGTAATTACAACATACAACTTCATTTCAAATGTAACAAGAAATGTTTGTAAAACACTTATGCCCCCCTCCCCCTAAATTGGAATTTTTCAAAGTCAAAAGGCCATAGCTTTGTCAAAAATGACGCAATTGTACATGTACCCAAAACAGAACTTGACCAAGATAGTCATCTGATAAATCTGTAAACAAATTCATTTCAGTATGTTCAACGGTTGTGAAGAAAATGAACGGAAACTGCAAATAATTGGAATTTTTCTAAGTCCAAGGGGCATAACTCTGTCAAAAATGGTGCGATCATACCCATAAGTGAACTTGCCCTAGATATTCATGTGATATATCTGTATACCAAATTTCATTTCAGTATGTGAAACGGTTGCGAAGAAAATGAATGGAAACTAAGTGGACCGACAGACAGCAGCAAAGCAATATGCCCTCCCTTCTTCGAAGGGGGGCATAATAATATAGATTATAAAATAACCATTTTCTAAATATACTCACCTACAAAGTTGCCTCTCTACATGTTTACAATAAAACAGATGTCTGAACAGCATCTGGTATCTGATAAGAGCCTACAAAGAGATATCAGGGAAATGTTATATACATGTGATATAAAAAATAAGCTACCTAAAGCTAAATAAAATTAATACCTGGTAACTAATACAGAATCTTTTCTGAAAAGAACAGTCCTTTTAACCTATATTGTTGTCTCTCATGTATTTTTGATTAGATTTGTCCGTGAAATTTGTAATTTTCAAGGAAGATTTCACTTTCCATCGATTTTACAAATATTAATGGACAACAATTGCTTTCTGAATACTAAAACATAGTTTAATTAGTAACATGGTCTTTGTTATTTATTCCACAGCTCTATGCCAAACCAACATAGCCTCTTTGTTTGAAATCTTTGTTTGAGACAGATCATAACGATTGATTGTATATTATTGTTTAACGTCCCTCTCGAGAATTTTCCATTAACTTGGAGACGCCACCACTGGCCAGTGGAGAGCTGCAAATTTTGTCATTTACCTGGCACTCAGGGCCATTGAGCAGGTGGGATCTTTTTTGTGCCAGCATCTACTGTGATACAGGATACTGTTTATACGGTCTCATTCATTATTAACTCCATACCTTCCTGTTAAGAACCAAATACACTGGCCACTTGACCATGCAGTCCAAGGATAAGTTATTAACTCCATACCTTCCTGTTAAGAACCAGGGACACTGGCCACTTGACCATGTAGTCAAAGGAGAAGGACTCGAGTCCAGAGAGGTGAAGGTCAGTTGGATCTACTTTATACTCTGTAATCAAAAAAGAGAAAATCCAAATTGCTTTAAATCCAATGTTGCATAATAAGCTAATCAGCTCAACTTTTACTAAAATATTAGAAATATAGCCCTCCAAGATGATAAAATCCATATTTCATGTGATCTAAATAATAATGCATACAGATCTAAAACCAAACCTTTTTCTTTCTTTGTTTCTATGGAAAGGATTTTAAACAGCTGTGTGATAAGGTCGAATGGAAGCAATTCCACTCTACAAAAAAGTAAATATTTACATTTCCAATGTTTTTGATTGACATAAAATTACAAATGGTTTATATATTTTATTTAACCATCAATGTACTTGCTGGTTCATCGATAGCCCTGGTAAAAAAAAACATAGGTAATCAAAGATTACGAAGCTCACCTCGACGAATGTTATCTGTTTAAGTAATGCAAATCCTACATCATATTTTCTTAATATTAAGTATTCATCCCAACAACAATATTCTTGCAAGTTGTGCTTAACCCTCTACATGGCATATATACATTTCTATGCGTTTAGCGTGAAAAACATGTATTGTGTAAACAAATATTCATAACTGTTAAAACTGCAGATATCAAAGACTTCAAGATCATTCGGATTGATCTGTTCCCAAAACTTTAACCTGGTCTCTTGTATGGAAAATATAGGTCAGATCCAGCATCCCAAGCAAGTCTGATAGTGTCCATCCTAAGATGCATCATCCATGCAAGTTTGGTTTAGCTAGGGCTTATAGTTACTTGGGAATTTGGGAATGAAAATGTAGGTCAGATCCAGCATCCGAAGCAAGCCTGGTAGTGTCCATCCTAAGATACATCATCCATGCAAGTTTGGTTTAGCTAGGGCTTACAGTTACTTGGGAATGAAAAATGTAGGTCAGATCCAGCATCCGAAGCAAGTCTGGTAGTGTCCATCCCTAGATACATCATCTATGCAAGTTTGGTCCAAATAGGGCTCATAGTTACTTGGGAATGAAAATGTAGGTCAGATCCAGCATCCGAAGCAAGTCTGGTAGTGTCCATCAGTAGATGCATCATCCATGCAAGTTTGGTTCAGGTAGGGCTTATAGTTACTTGGGAATTTGGGAATGAAAATGTAGGTCAGATCCAGCATCCGAAGCAAGTCTGGTAGTGTCCATCCCTAGATGCATCATCCATGCAAGTTTGGTTCAGGTAGGGCTTATAGTTACTTGGGAATGAAAATAAAGGTCAGATCCAGCATCCGATGCAAGTCTGGTAGTGTCCATCCCTAGATGCATCATCCAAGCAAGTTTGCTTCAGGTAGGGCTTATAGTTACTTGGGAATGAAAATGTAGGTCAGATCCAGCATCCGAAGCAAGTCTGGTAGTGTCCATCCCTAGATACATCATCCATGCAAGTTTGCTTCAGGTAGGGCTTATAGTTACTTGGGAATGAAAATGTAGGTCAGATCCAGCATCCGAAGTAAGTCTGGTAGTGTCCATCCCTAGATGCATCATCCATGCAAGTTTGGTCCAAATAGGGCTTATAGTTCCTGTGGAAGGGACCTGCTCCAAAAACTTTAACCTGGTCACTCATCTAGACAATGTAGGTCAGATCCAGCATCCAAAGCAAGTCTGGTAGTGTACATCCCTAGATGCATCATCCATGCAAGTTTGGTTCAGGCAGGGATTATAGTTCCTGTGGAATGGACCTGCTCCAAAAACTTTAACCTGGTCACTCATCTGGAAAATGTAGGTCAGATCCAGCATCCGAAGCAAGTCTGGTAGTGTACATTCCTAGATGCATCATCCATGCAAGTTTGGTTCAGGTAGGGCTTATAATTCCTTGGGAATGGACCTGCTCCAAAAACTTTAACCTGCTCAAAAAACTTTAACCTGGTCACTCATCTAGATAATGTAGGTCAGATCCAGCATCCGAAGCAAGTCTGGTAGTGTACATTCCTAGATGCATCATCCATGCAAGTTTGGTTCAGGTAGGGCTTATAATTCCTTGGGAATGGACCTGCTCCAAAAACTTTAACCTGCTCAAAAAACTTTAACCTGGTCACTCATCTAGATAATGTAGGTCAGATCCAGCATCCGAAGCAAGTCTGGTAGTGTACATCCCTAGATGCATCATCCATGCAAGTTTGGTTCAGATAGGGCTTATAGTTACTTGGGAATGGACTTGCTCCTAAAACTTTAACCTGGGACGCCGACGCTAACGCCGACGCCGACGCCGACACCGACGCCGGGGGTATAGCGAGGTGAGCTAATCATGTGCAGGGAAGGACAAATATAGTGTCAAGAAGTGGGGCTTCTAGCAGGTGGATTGGCAGAATCAATACCATGTAAATATAAGGAATAAATGTCAGATTTTTCAATTTCATGACGATGATCTATCAATTGGCTTGCATGATAATTTTATGCATTGTATAAACGCCTTAATCGTTTAGGAAAGTTATCACGAAAGCAAATAGATTGTTCTTATCCTGAGATCGAAAAATAAGACAGTTATTCCTTAAGTAAATAACAATTAGATACAGCTGGAAATCTGTCAATACTTCTCAATGTTGGTCTAATGCTCACCATGCGATCTGCTGATATGATACTCATGATGATCAAATGTCAGCTGTTCTTATTTGATATCATTCTTGAACTAGACAGTGTTACCAATATTCACCTGAGATCGTAATCATCCTTGAGCTGGTCAATGTTAACTGTACTGACCTGAAATTGTCCTTGAACTGGTCAATGTTAACTGTACTCATCTGAAATTGTCCTTGAACTGGTCAATGTTAACTGTACTCACCTGAAATTGTCCTTGAACTGGTCAATGTTAACTGTACTCACCTGAGATTGTCCTTGAGCTGGTCAATGTTAGCTGTACTCACCTGAGAACTGGTCAATGTTAGCTGTACTCACCTGAGAACTGGTCAATTTTAGCTGTACTCACCTGAGAACTGGTCAATGTTAGCTGTACTCTCCTGAGATCGTCCTTGAGCTGGTCAATGTTAGCTGTACTCACCTGAGAACTGGTCAATGTTAGCTGTACTCACCTGAGAACTAGTCAATGTTAACTGTACTCACCTGAGATTGTCCTTGAGCTGGTCAATGTTAGCTGTACTCACCTGAGAACTGGTCAATGTTAGCTGTACTCACCTGAGAACTGGTCAATGTTAGCTGTACTCTCCTGAGATCGTCCTTGAGCTGGTCAATGTTAGCTGTACTCACCTGAGATCTGGTCAATGTTAGCTGTACTCACCTGAGATCTGGTCAATGTTAGCTGTACTCACCTGAGATCTGGTCAATGTTAGCTGTACTCACCTGAGAACTGGTCAATGTTAGCTGTACTCTCCTGAGATCGTCCTTGAGCTGGTCAATGTTAGCTGTACTCACCTGAGAACTGGTCAATGTTAGCTGTACTCACCTGAGATCTGGTCAATGTTAGCTGTACTCACCTGAGAACTGGACAATGTTATCTGTACTCTCCTGAGATCGTCCTTGAACTGGTCAATGTAAGCTGTACACACCTGAGAACTGGTCAATGTTAGCTGTACTCACCTGAGAACTGGTCAATGTTAGCTGTACTCACCTGAGAACTGGTCAATGTTAGATGTACTCACCTGAAAACTGGTCAATGTTAGCTGTACTCACCTGAGATCTGGTCAGTGTTAACTGTACTCACCTGAGAACTGGTCAATGTTAGCTGTACTCACCTGAGAACTGGTCAATGTTAGCTGTACTCACCTGAGATCGTCCTTGAACTGGTCAATGTTAGCTGTACACACCTGAGAACTGGTCAATGTTAGCTGTACACACCTGAGAACTGGTCAATGTTAGCTGTACTCACCTGAGAACTGGTCAATGTTAGCTGTACTCACCTGAGCATGGTCAATGTTAGCTGTACTCACCTGAGATTGTCCTTGAACTGGTCAATGTTAGCTGTTCTCACCTGAGATCGTCCTTGAACTGGTCAATGTTAGCTGTACTGGTCCTGAGAGCCAGTTCCAGTAAGGTCTCCAGACGTGTGGGGGTGATGTTCTCCATATCTTGTCTCATCTCGTCCTCCGTCATGTCCATAAACTGGACAATAAAGTCCCCCTTGTCCAACAGGAAGTAATGCTTGATGGATCTAAAATCAAAATCAAGTTATTCAAATTTGACCATAACCAAGTTTAAAATTGTGTGACAGATTTTTTTTTCCATATTTTCCAATCATAAAAGACAGGTCAGCAGGATATGTTCATTCCTCCATGACACTTGATTCTATGTCTTATGTTGTAGAGGTCAATGTTTGTATGGATTTTAGAGTGTGTGTTTGTTATCTCCAAATATTTTATTACTATAGATGCAAATTCTGCATTTCATAATTATCGAGGGATTCCTTTTGTTTCCTCATGAAATCATCAATAAATTATACAACCATAAATTTATACCTAATTCTGGCCATCAGTTCCTTCTCTTCCACTAGTAATTCTAGCAGTAGTTTACTAGAGTACTCATATGCTTTCTCTATCTGTTCATAGTATTTCCTTTCCTTCACTGTGTACACAATTTCTTCAGCGCAAGGACACTGCACATCACGACCTACAGTCAAAGATCAGAAATTCTAAATACTGTATACAACAATTTAGTTTATTTGTTGTATTTTGTTATTAAAGAAAAATTGCTACTGTAACCTTTTTCTGGAGAAAAAAAAGTAATTATAATAAAGTGCCACGCCACAGCATGATACGCCTGTCAAAATATTACACAATTATCTTTAACAGTTTAGACTGCAAAAAAAATCCTTGATTCTAAGATTTCCATGATTTTTCCATTTTAAAAAAAAAAATATTACTTTATCCATCCCCTGTGCTGTAGGCATAATTATAACAAATATTACATAACTGACAGATTTCTATACTGTTTGTGTTAGACTTTGTCAAATGCCCGCCATCATAATAAACAATATCAAATTAGTCTTAACAACTTAATCTATGCCAAATTAATTTTGAAAAGAAAGGCTGGCCATCAAATGACATATGCTATAAACTGACCAGCAGTTCTTCTGACTAATCCCCAAAGGATACAGATAAGGCAGCGCTTGATCAGATAGCCTTCGTACATTGAACTCATTAATTAATCTTTGACTGGATGCTTGTCTACTCATTACTCCCTAAATATTAATGGATCTGCACTTTTTATCCTAAAACACTTTTAAAACATATAAAATACTCCATGATTTCTTTTTAGATTTAATGCCAGATAGGTTTTATATTTAATTCATATGGTCAAGTAGGCATGCTGATTCAACCCCACCCCATAAAATTAGTTTTTAATTAATTAATATTATATAATATCAGATTATTAGTTTATTATGCAATATCAAATAAGTTTTAATTACTTTTCATCAAATTCATTTTAAAACTCAGCTAGCCAACAAGAGCTATTTTTAATCTAACAGCTATAGCTAGGCTGGCTGTCCATTTGCCCAATACCCAAGGGATAACACCAATGCTCTGCTAGTTACCTCCTCACACTAAACTCATTAATTTCTCTCTAATTTGACATGCAACTTTCTGCTATCAAAATTCTTCCTGACCAGTGCTTGATAATTATGCCCATGGGACAAACTGAATTCCTCTCATTAACACTGAAATTTGATTAAGATTGCTGTAAAGTATATGATGAAAAAATAAGTTTTTACTTGATTTAATACTTTTTAATAAGGATACAACTCTATTTTTTTACATTTTTAGGATTATGAAATTTAAATTTAAAAAACTTAGTTTTTTTAAAAAAAATTCACTAAAATTAAAGGTCACAGTGACCTTGAAATAGGTCGTGACACACCTTCTACCTAAGATGTATACTTTTGCCAAGTTTGATAGCTCTAGGTCTAACAGTTTTCTAGTTATGAGCCGGACAGGATTTTTCCATATTTGGCCATAGCATCTTTATTAAAGGTCAGAGTGACCTACTTTTGGTGCGCGACACACCGTCTACCCAAGAAGTATCAGTTGACAAAGTTTGATAATCCTAGGCCTAATAGTATTGAAGTTATGAGCCGGACATGAATGGACAGACAGACGGACATGAAGCCTATAACATAATATGTCCCGTCTTAAGACGGGCGTACAAAAAGTAATCTTTCTTACCACAAAGTCGTACGACATTGAGATATTTTCCCGTGTTGAGGATTTTGTTGGCCACCTGTTCTAGAAATACTGGGATCCGCTCCCGACAGATCGTGTAGTGGCCTTCCCAGTATGCATCATTGTATTCTTCCTGTAACTTCTCCTTGTTAATTGTCTCATTCTCCTCCACAAGAAACTGTCAAACATACCATTTTCTTCATCAAACATTTCTAATTGATTCTCAAAAGATCTTAGGTTTTCAGATTTCAAACATGCAACTCTGATCAATTTTTGTCATAATTTATCTCTTTACTGATACTTTTTATAGCATTTAAATAAAAACTATTCAAATGGTTGGTGTATCTCAAGAATTTATTAAAACCTTTTAAAATTAACTTACCTCAGAGTAAGGGTCTGAGATGATTCCTTTATAAATCCACTTCTCTAGAATCTCAAAGTATGGGACGGAGGCCTGTAGAAAAATTTTAATTAATTTTAATGTTACAATACTCTCTGGCATCCATATCAGTTCATGCATACATATTAATTCAACAACTAAAAAGTTCTAATGTAGACAGACATTGTGACATTGAATACTTACTTATTTCAAGAAATAAAAAGTTCTAGTGAAGGAAGACATTGTGACATGAAATACTTACAGACTGTGTAAGGTAAAGACAAAGGTCCTGTCCTTTTGAATCCCTAAAACCAAAAAAAAAAATCTTTATACACTATGATTTTTTTTTCTGTTATTGATGTGAATTTTTGGTTACAATACTACTGGACAATAATTTCATACTTAAAGATTGATGAAGTTGAAATCATTGTATAATTAAAATTAATTTACCCAACCAGTCCACTTGTTTTATCATGGAGGAGACTCAACACTGCCCCTCCTATACACTCTCCCTGTAAACCAATATAAACAATGAAGAATATTTATAGAATAATTGGCTCTATGTAAACAAACTTTACCTGAAACTCTTGTATGGAATTAACAAACTTTTTTCTGTAAACATGTATCAGAAGAGAAATTTCAAAATGTACAACAACCAGAATTATTCTCAAGGTATTTTTCAAATTTCATTTTGAAGCTAAGTGTTAAATATATGACAATTCAAAATCAAAGACATAGTATAGCTGTATACCTTGTTGACAGAGTTAGCCACTGAAGCCAAAATGTCCAGTGTCTTCATGGTTGGCTGAATGTAAAACCACAGCTTCTGTAAACTCAGGTTACCCTGTCATAGAAGAAAATTGCAAACTAGAAACATTAATACATATAATAAAGCATTCTTCAAAACATTAAATGACCATACTTATTGATAAAACTGAAATTTTAATACATTGTCAAACAGAGAAAAGAGGATATCACATTGAGGGATTAATTTTTCCACAATTTTATGGTGGGAAGACAAAAATGAAGTCATGCTCCCAAAACTAATTTAACTAGCCATTTCTTTTTTCATCCAAGGCAACAAATTCTCATAATGCATTATTCAAATTCCTTTAAAGACCCAATTTTTTTACCGTACGGTTACCTGAGGAGGGGGAGTGGTCCAAGTAACAGTGGTGTTATTTACCTGGAGACCCCCAATACCCATTACCCAAAATGTCAAAAAATCAATATACATGTAGCATTACACAGGAAGTCTGTGTCTGGTGATCAGGGTCAACATTCGTGTCTAAATTTGAGTGAAACTACTTGAAATAATTGAAATATTTCAATATAAAATTTATTCATAAAAAATTTCAGCAATTTATCTAATGAAGAAAAAAAGTATAAAGAAATATCGTTTTTACATTTTAAAAAATGACAAATTAAAGAAAGAACACAGAGTAAATCTACAAAGTTAACATATTTTTTTTTAATTAAACTTGTGTAAATATCAAATAAAAAAATAATAATAAAATATTCCATTCAAAGAGAGGCCTATCCGTCGTGTGAACATAAACAATGTACCATACCGCGATAGGAATATTGCCTAGGTTCTGATCAACAATAGTGTTGAAAATATTCACCATTTCGTGTTCGTGTGTTTAAAATTTATTATTGTTTGCAAGATATTTTTCTTTTTATACTTTTAAGAATTTATCTTTGGCTGTATGTATTCATTTTAAATTTCGAATATTGGGTGTTGACAGATGTTAGGAAATTCGAACTAAAAGTTACAATCTCGAAACTCTACAGCTGTTTCTGACATTTCAGAACTTTACAACTGAACATGGTATAGATTGTATTCATGTATAAGTAGATAAAACATCGGATAAAGGATTTTTTTATCCGTGTCGTTTGTGCTAAATATCTTTTTCCTATTTATCATATTCCAATTTAATCGGCAAATAGCGTTTCTGTGCACGTACTGGTCTAAGTTCTACAGCAGATATCTTGAACGACACATCGCCTAAAATACAATATAGCCGTTGAGATTAAAAGCAAATATTTTGAAGTCATATTTTATTTATCTACTCTCAATTGTTTTTAAAATAAAATTTTACCAAGATTCTTTTTTAACCCCCGTGTATACAAGGCGGCTAAATGAAAGTGTTTGACGCGTGGCCAGGCAATCGTTTTTAGAGGACACAAACTCAGACTATCAGGTAGCACGGGAGGCTGGCCTGTCAATCAAATCAGAAGCTATTGTTTTTTTAATGATTGACAGGCGGTCAATTATTGATCTTGAATCAGGTAGATTTTGGGGGCGTTAACATAAAATTGGGTGTTTAACCAATGAAAATTTGATCTCACAAAATTTTACATGGAAATTGGTAACTAAGTATAAGGCCCTATAAAATAAATTTCTTGGTTCTCAGCCCCTCCCTCATCTCTTCCAAGAGTGCCTCATTGACCCTTTTATTGCTAAATCAAAAAAAAAAAACATCAAATCACCTCCCTCATCATTTTTTTTTTAGGTTTTGTACAATGTAAAAAGCTGGTTATGTATTGGGGGCAATAAAAAATAAAAAATGCACCCTCCCTCCCTCATATTTCTTGAGAAAAAACCTGAGAACCAAGGAATTAACATTGCATGGTCTAAATTGTATTATTTCAACAGCATGGAACCACAATAATGATTTCACTCACCAATCTGTATTGATGTTCCAACTGTGCTACAAGAACCATGTAGTCCTGAAAAAAAAGTCTTCTGTTAGTCCGTCTAAACAATCAAGTTTCATACTGAACACTAAATTTTTCAATGTGCAGGACATTTTTGCAACTCTAGCGAGCTACTTTAACTAGGGGTTATTAATTGCAGCAAACTTTTTATTTTGCTTTATATTTGTAGAGAATGTTTTTTCTTACACAAAATTTATCTACGCGAATTGATTTCAAACTGACAAATCAGGAATAAAAGATTATGTTAATAATAGTTTATTTATTTATAGTATTTGAACAAAACTTCTAAATCCAAAAAGTATTAAAAGAAGTTATTTATATAGAGGAAAATAAACCAAACATGATTTTATACACGTTTATTTTGATATTGGCGTTTGATGGTCGTGGCATATTAAAAGCAGCAGGGATCGCCAAGCGTAAAAGGGCGACCCCAAATCACAACAAGCAGCAGCAGCAGCAAGCAACATGAAAGCATAATATCACATGTACATATAATAAGCATAATAATGGCCGTTCCGGGTATACCGCGAACGGTAATTAACCTTACAATTAAAATGTACATGTATTTTAAATAAACTTTACAAGTTTATATGTATGTTTAGTATTTTAGAAACAATCGTGATTGAAAGCATATTTTTTTAAAAGTTCTGTCTGCTACAAAATTCGTGTACCTTTCGTTTTTTGGATCAAGGGCAAAGAGGGAGAATTTGAGATATCCTGATCCCGATCTAATTTATATTCGAGCTAACCCAACTCAAATAGCAGCAACAAAGTTTTCCTCATAAAATAAGTGCATCTATTCTTTAAATTAATAGATGCTATTATTACACATACATGAAGTTGAAAAATAAAAGCTTTTTACACTTTCCAATGGTACATTAAAGAATAAAGCCATACCTTGATAAGAGTTCTCATGGCTGCACTTAAAGCCTGGTTGACGAGTCCATACTCAAATGCTGATTTCTCTGAAAATATTAAAAGCAAGCAAGTTAAATATAACTACAGTGTAGAAAGGATCTTGTATTAATTAACACCTATTTCTCTACAGATGAAGGAATATTTTTATCTCTTAATGTGGCAAAAAATAAATTTATCAACATACCTTCAATAAACCTCACCACAGTAGAGTAGTTACAACACAAGGGAAGAATTCTTCTGACAAGGTCTTGTAGAGATGGATCTATGGAAAACAAAACATTCCAGCTTTCATATAAATTTGACATCTATTCCAGTTCCTACCCACATTTTGACATCTCTACCTTACAAATTTTTGAAATCTCTACCTACCCAAAAGTTAACATCTCTACCTCCCAAGATGTTGACATCTCTATCTACTTAGAGGTTAACATCTCTACCTCCCAAGATGTTGATATCTCTATCTACTTAGAGGTTAACATCTCTACCTCCCAAGATGTTGATATCTCTATCTACTTAGAGGTTAACATCTCTAACTCCCAAGGTGTTGATATCTCTATCTACCTAGAGGTTAACATCTCTACCTCCCAAGATGTTGATATCTCTATCTACTTAGAGGTTAACATCTCTAACTCCCAAGGTGTTGATATCTCTATCTACTTAGAAGTTAACACCTCTACCTCCCAAGATATTGACATCTCTATCTACTTAAAGGTTAACATCTCTACCTCCCAAGATGTCGATATCTCTATCTACTTAGAGGTTAACATCTCTACCTCCCAAGATGTTGACATCTCTATTTACTTAGAGGTTAACATCTCTAACTCCCAAGGTGTTGATATCTCTATCTACTTAGAGTTTAACATCTCTACCTCACAAGATGTTGACATCTCTATCTACTTAAAGGTTAACATCTCTACCTCCCAAGATGTCGATATCTCTATCTACTTAGAGGTTAACATCTCTACCTCCCAAGATGTTGACATCTCTATCTACTTAGAGGTTAACATATCTACCTCACGAGTTTTTGACAGCAGTACTTACCCAGATTTTGGTCCAACATGAATTCCTTTGGAGCATACCTCTCTGTCAGAGCTCGGGCCAGGATGTATTTACCCTCAATTCCCTGTGAAATACAATCTGCCTTCAGTTAAAAACCCTTACATTCTTTACCATTTTCACCAATTATCTTATTTCTTTTGTTTTTTGTTTTTTCATGAACTTATTTTTAAAATATACTTAATGCTCTCTATATAAGAACAATTCTGTTCCTAGAAGCAATTTCTAAAATTAGCATACTGTGTCTTATTCTAAATTTTTATATTCTTGAGGGAATATTCAATTTGACTCCTCTTCAGATTTAATTTTATACAGAATCTGATGCTAAAACCCTGGATCTGCCTATGTTATCTGATATTGTAGATGATGGACTTTTATACCTGCATACAGTTCAACATGTCATCCAGAATGGCGTGCTCCTGAGCTGGTACACTCATGCTGCTTAGAGGAATAATATTCTGTAAAATAAAAACAACCTCATTTAAAGTCAGCAAATTTCTAATTCTATTGTAATTATAATGACCTTCTATAAAAATATAACCTATAATTGGGTTGTATTTTGGCTGACTTTTTTCATAGCAATTGTTGGGTGTTTGGTTTAATACTTAATTTGACAACAGAGTGTTCTACTTGATCAATATCTAAGGCTAAAAACAGCTTGGTGTGACCACATCAACAAGGAATGCTTACTCCTCTAAGACACCTGATCTCACTTATAGAATGAAGAGAGGGCAGAGTTAATGACATGTCAATAGATTTGCTTTGTTGATATTTTTTATGCAATCATCTACACTTTTCTTCAATATTGAAGGAATTTAGTTTAAGCTGTTTCAACAACACATTTACAGGACAAATGTACAGTCATGTATTCCCAATGACACCATCACACAGAAATTTCATTTTGAGGATGTGCTTTTTTTTGATAAGATGAAATATGACGTATGTTGCTTACTTGATCAGAGGGTTCATCTACTCCCACAATGAAGTCCAGGGTCAGGGAAGGTCTCTTAAACAACCAGTCTGGCTGAGGAGGAATGTTTACTGCAAAAATTAGTTTGTTATGTTTGTTAAATTCTCGGATTTATAATGATAATAGAATAAGTTATTTTGTATGTCATATTGATTTTCATGTAAAAGAAAAAAATAAGATAAGATACAGAATGTAAAAAATTCACTTTTTTGCTTCCATATTTAATACCAGTTGTACAGTTTATTATTGTTTGCATTCAAGTGTAAAGTTGTACGTTACATCACAATCTTTTTCGTCAGATGCATCCAGCGTAAACAATTCACATGATTGGTCAACTCAATTTATCAACATTAACACGGAAATAGTCTGTTGCACGAGCAGCCAATCACGGATAAGAAGAAAGTTCCAGTCCTAAAGCTTGCGGTTAGGAGGTGTGTACAATTTACCTTGAGCGCAGCTGTCAACTAGATCGTGGCGTAACATGAAACTTTACACTCAACTGCAAACAATAACTTCAATAAACAGAGTATATTAATTTTACCATTGCGTTTGTTTGGTTTCTCCTGCAGGGCTTTCCTTAATATTTCTGACGATGTAGTTGCAGTCATCATTTTTGATTCTTTAAACAGCGTGTCCTTTAACTGTTAAAAAGGGAACATATACATGATATAGTTAAGTTAAATTTCAGAAATCAGTTAAATTTTTCAAACTTTAATAAGATTTGTTATAATTCTTAACTCTTGACCTATTTGTGTTTTTAAGAGAGTTCCTACCTCTGTGAAATCCTGCATGGTGATTTTTGCCCCCGGGGCGGGGAGCTGTGAAATGACCCTGCTATGTGAGGCCAAGGCCAAACCAGATTTATCAGCTTTGTCTTTGGCATTTTTAGCCATGTACTCTTTTGTCTGTAAATAATATACAAAGAACTATACACAATTGAAATGGAAAAAAAGCAAATTTTATCCTTTTCTGCTAGCTCTGGGTCATTATTCCTATTGTTCCACATAAAGAGAAAATAATTCTAATGTTGCTCTTGGTATTACAGTATTTTGAAAAGAAAGAATAGAGTCCAACATCTTCATAACGCTGTAATAAATCAAGAATCATACCTCTTCCTCCTCACACAGTTTGGAAAGGAGAAACACAAAGGGGTCCAGTTCTCTGTTACTATGGAAACAAAAAAAAAATAGGTAATCAGAGATTACAGAGCTCACCTCAACGAATGTTGTCTTTAAGTAAGGCAAAGTCACACAATTAACCAACAAAAGGTGTACATTCCAAAAATGAAAATATTTAAGCAATTTTGATCTGATACTTTGAAATAGACCTAAATAAAAAATTTAAACTAGTTCTTCTTCGTGAAAATGTAATTAAAATCCAGCATCTGAAGCAAATTTGAGAGTTTTCATCTCCTGATGCAACATTTGTGCAAGTTTGGTTTATACAATGTTATATAAGCCTCTTAGTTTTTTGGTAATTGACCTGCACCCAAAAATTTTACCTGGTCTATTATCTATAAATTAATTTATCCATGCAAGTTTGGTCAACATAGGGCTTATAGTTTCTTGGAAATGAAACCTGCACCAAAAACTTTAACCTATTCACTCAACCAGAAAATGTAGGTCAGATTCAGCATCTGAAGCAAGCCTGGTAGTATGCATCCTTAGATGTATCATCCATACAAGTTTGGTCAACATAGGGCTTATAGTTTCTTAGAAATGAAACCTGCACCAAAAAATTCAACCTGTTCACTAAACCGTAAAATGTAGGTCAGATTCAGCATCCAAAGCAAGACTGGTAGTGTGCATCCTTAGATGTTTCATCCATGCAAGTTTGGTCAACATAGGGCTTATAGTTTCTTAGAAATGAAACCTGCACCAAAAAATTCAACCTGTTCACTAAACTGTAAAATGTAGGTCAGAATCAGCATCCAAAGCAAGCCTGGTAGTGTGCATCTTTAGATGTATCATCCATGCAAGTTTGGTCAACATAGGGCTTATAGTTACTTGGAAATGAGAACTACATCAAAAACTGCACCAAAAATGTTAACCTGCTTCAAAAACATTAACCTGGCCAGTCCTTTGCTGAAATTGCAGCATCTGAAACACACTAGAAACATCTTCCATGCATGTCCAATCAATATAGGACATAGAAGTACTTAAAAACAAAACTGCTCCAAAAAACTTAACCTTAACCTAGGACGCCGACACCGACACGGACGCCAACGCCGATGCCGAGGGTATTATATAAGCTTCCCCAATGTTGAGGTGAGCTAATAATAAATCTGACAGTGATGTTAAAAAATGCATTGTCAGTGATTGAATTGGTAGCAAATTGCCAAGCAAAATTAACCAAACATCATAATAACAAGTCCTTGCTACTACTGTAACTAAGACACCTAGCTCTTCCTCCTAACACAGTATACATGTATCTTAGTATAGTGTACTTATAGCAACTGAACCAAAACTGTAAGGGTGTTGTTTTAGAGAAAATTCTTAAGAAGTTTCTATATATTTAGTAACCATGGTAAAACTGTTTGTTGAAATCAAAAAGAGATATAAAGATTTGGTCAACTTGTGTTGTAATTCTCACGTTGAATTGGATAAAAACTTTAGGAAGAGTATAGGGTTTTGGAAATTGTTTACAGACAGACAGACAGCTAAACCATGTAGACAGACAAAGGAAACCTAATTTATGAATAATCACTTCATGTTTCTGACCAGTAAAGCTACAAAATCATGTTTAAGTCTTACTTTTTAGACTTGAGTTCATCATACTTGGCTGGGAACTCAATAGTTTGTTGACTTACTTTTTAGACTTGAGTTCATCATACTTGGCTAGGAACTCAATAGGAGTTTTTGTTGACTCAGCTATCTTTCTCTTAGCTTGATGAGCGGACACCTACAATTAACAAAACACACCATAATTTCTTGGGATTAAAGTAATATACGCTATAACGTGCGCCATTTTAAAATACAGCTGGAAATTTATATATTTTTTTTACCAATAAAAATTACGAATATGCTGTAAATTAAATAAAATTCGTTATAAAGTTATCAAATTATAATTATTTATTATCCTGCAAGGAGAATAATGTCTATTTTTAAGTAAATCCACCACGTGACGCCGTCGCTACTTTTAGATTGATAAACAAACACGGCGTCAAGAAAACGAGGTAAGCCCTTTGAGATACAACTCACTTGTGACATGGGTGGCGTGTTACTATTAATATAACTTATCTTTAAATGTAATCAGTATCAACCTTCTATACTCTGTTATGACGCATATTAACCTTTTATTAATAATCGTTGTCAAAATGCAACGTGCCTCGTTGTCTATAATTTCCCGTGGACATACGTGTCTATATTTAGACCTACTGTTTACGCACTTCCTTTATCAATATTCACGATAAGACTGAATTCTTGATTGCAGATATTGCTTTATTGTTCTGTTCTTACAACGAGTTTTATAGTTAAATTTTGTGGAAATATTATTTTTTCATTACACTTTATGTGTTTCAAATCATTAAATCATTTTGTTTCACATACAAATTGGCATCCATACGGCGTATATTACTTTAAGCATTGATTGATGAAAATCACGAATACCTGTATTCCAAGTATCACTTATTGATACTCCCAAAACAAAAGTTTTTTGTGTTATAGAATTATACATTTCATGGATGTCTCTCTGAACTTTGTGACCTTGACCTTGTCCTAATGACCTTTGCTTGAGGTCATGTCATAATATCCTTTGATCATAATTAATGCACCTAGGACAATAATATGTACGATCTTTAAAGCTACTTCATGATTAAACTTTATTATGAAAAATATTTTTTTCACTCATATTCTATGACCTTGACCCTGTGCAAATGACAAGTGTAGGTTTGTTACATACCCTCAGGTCTGAAGGATCATTTGTGTCAAGTACAATTTTCTGAATTTATAAACATTAAAGGAATGACTAAGGCAAGATCTTTTCAATTTCTAAAATATGTTACCTCAATCTTGTTAAAATAACTTTAAGTAGGGTTAGGACATACTTTTCAGTCAAATACAACCTTTGCCTCAGCTAGAAGCTTTAACTGAATTTTAATTTAAATTTTAAAACTGTGGCTATTACAAAACATCAATAACTCAATACTTAAATACCCTGTGACCTTTTCCAAATTGAACTTATTATTTTTGGTAGTTAAAAAGATAATGTCTAGACAATAAATGCCTACATACAGCTAGTCAGAAAGATACATATAAACAATCCAATAAACCCCCCAAGCTTCATTTGCGAGAATAAAATAACCATCTCATTACTTTGATTCCCAAACAATAAATTTACTCTACACTGGCTGATAATGCAGATATAGACATCTCAGGTATTTAAATCACATGACCTGGTAGCAGGTAAATATTTGGAGGGAAGACAAGGAAGTAAATTGTGTACAGGATTATCGGGAGGCCATGTTGGATTTAGAGGTGAGAAGAGATCATATTTAGTAAATTTAATGTTACAAGATATTACCCTAGCTGTTGTCATTAATGACCTCAGGTGCAGTTAAACACATCAATTAAAATACATGCAAGAGTCACATTATAATATGCTATATATTATACATTTATTGACTGAGTTCGAGGGCAACATGCGTTTTGTCGGACCCAAGAACCAAACTGTCTGCCTGAAGCCGTTAGGCAGAAGGCAGACAGTTTGGTTCGAGGGTCTGACAAAACGCATTTTGCCCGAGAACTCTGTCAATAAATGTTTTGTTATACCTTTCATTTTATTTTATATTTTTTGACATACATGTATTTTGTACTATATTCCGTAATGTAACATCAGGTCTTTCACTGTTTAACACCAACGAATGAAAATGAGATTAAGCTCCGCCCATTCTGTGACGTAAGCGGTCCAACATCTCTCCGAGCAGTCCAACATCTCACTCAGCGGTCCAACATCGATTTTTTTATGCCCGCTCAATAAAACATTAAAAATGTTAGACTTTTTTTCGTATAGATTTGTATAGGAACAATTTTTTAAAGGTATAACAAATATTTATATTATACTGTACAGTAATGATTTTTTGGGTAGCCATGATGGATTTAGAGGTGAGACAATTATATTTAAGATTTAACATATTGTTACATACAAAATACTCTAGCCGTTGTTATTCATAACATTAATTTAAACACAAAGAAAGTGGAACCTCTAATGACACATATGATATAAATTACAAAGAATTGCAAACATCATGTTCTTCCTCATAAATAAACAAGGTGTACAGAGCATTTCTTTTTTTACTGTCAACACTAATCAATATTTCCCTACTGTCATTTCCAAACTGCTTAGCGGTCTAAGAATTTCACCAAAAAAAAATAGAAATTTTATTGTTTTTTCATTACAGGATCTGCTGGTTTGAACCAAACCCCAGTGATGGACCCCCGTTACAGTGCCCAAGACATCCTCCTTTGTGACCTGTGTCAAACCGCTGGATTACAGAGTCATTGTGAAATTTGTCAGATTAACCTGTGTAAGGCCTGTGTAGGGGAACATCTCTCTGATTCATCTAAAAGACACAAAGTTGTACCATACAAACACAGAAAATCTACTCCTAATGTTTACTACCCAAAATGTCCAAACCACACCCAGAAACATTGTGAACTTTACTGTGAGAAATGTGACATTCCTGTCTGTTCTACCTGCATCTCCTCTGGGAAACATAAAGGGCACGATTTATCTGATGCTCTGCAGAAAATAAGTTCAAAAACAAAATTTTTAGAAAATGACTTGGAAGATCTAGAGAAAAGAATCTATCCAACATTTGAGGAAATTACTTCAGATTTAAGATCTGAAAAAGTCAACTCGGAAAAACATTATGAGAAACTGACAACAGCTGTCACCAAACATGGAGAAAACTGGCACAGAGAAATTAACATCATTGTCAACAAACAGAAATCTGAAATTGATGAGATGAAATCTAAACACCTGGCTGTTCTAAATAAACAGGAAAAAGAAATCAAACAGATTACTTCTGATGTAAGAGAATGCATTCTTGATCTGAAGAAAATGTTGGACTCCAATGATGTCTCCCTAACCTCTGCATACAAATCCAGGAATACTGAATTCAGAAATTTACCTCCTAAAGTCAATGTTTCACTACCAACTTTTTCTCCACATCAGATTAACACAGAACAACTCCATCAAATGTTTGGTTCTCTGTCAGCATTCTCCATTACAACAGAAGAACATGGCTACACAATGAAGACACCAGAAGCTGTATCCTGTCCTCCAGTCAAACCACTGCTTGATGAACCAGAGCTCATCACCACCATAGACACTGACTTTATACCACTACACAGTGTTACCTGTGTCAGTGATGAAGAAATCTGGACACGTGGAAATGACAAAATCATGAAACTCTACAACCTCCAGGGCAATCTACTGAAGTCAATCCAAACCGAGTTTGGGAACATACCACGTGACATAGCAGTGACAAGGAGTGGAGATCTAGTTTATACTGACCATGATACAAGAACTGTAAACATAGTGAAGAATGACCAGAAACAGGAAGTGATCAGTCTATGGAGGTGGAGACCTTACTATATCTGTAGTACCTCCTCTGGTGACCTCCTGGTTACCATGGTCAGTGATGATGGTGAACAATCAAAAGTTGTCCGTTACTCTGGCTCCGAAAAGAAACAAACCATCCAGTTTGATAGTGAAGGTAAACCTTTATATTTATCTGGTGACCCTAAATACATCAGTGAGAACAGGAACCTGGATATCTGTGTAGCTGACAGTGGAGCCCGTGCTGTAGTGGTGGTTAATCAGGCAGGAAAACTCCGATTTAGATACACTGGTCATCCCTCTACTAACAACGGATTATTTAATCCATACGGCATCACAACAGACAGCCAGAGTCAGATCCTGACATCAGACTTGTACTGTATCCACATCCTAGATCAGGACGGACAGTTCCTCCGTTACATTGATAACTGTGATCTACAGTATCCATGGGGTATATGTGTAGACACCAGAGACAACCTTTTTGTGGCTGAGTATCTCAGTGGTAAAGTGAAGAAAATCAAATACATGTAAACAATGTGTAAACATTAATTGTTTGTATCCGAGATAATTTCTGTGACAGAGCGAAATAAGATTGTGAATATTAATTCAAGTATTGTGAATTGCATTAAAATGTTAAAAAAAAATTGTTACAAAGGAGCTAAAACTTAATTATGGTTATGTTAACAGAAATCAGACCTGTATGATATGAAATCTGATGACGAAAAAAACTCTTTTCATATCTCAACATATTCAAATAAAACAGTGAAATTTTATATGCATGTAAATGTATTAAATTCATGAGTAAAACAAAAATTAAACCACAGATCTCCATTTTACTGTGTGGTAATATTCTAAACAAAATAGGGAGGAGTGTTTTATTAAAAACATTAATAGATGTAGGATGCTGTGTTCTATTTAAAACTCTGTATAATTATTTACATTTCAAATGCCTTTGTCTGAGATAAAATTAAAAATTGTTAAAAAAGTCAAACGTGGGGTGGGACAAATTGAGTTTGAAACAAGGCTATTAGCTCGTGAATTTGCAGAATCTAAATATAAAGAAGAACTGTCTGACTTTTTTTGGAATCATGACAATGATCACTCTATTGGCAAATATAAGTAATAAACAACGATTAGGCCATAATAAATAAATTGCTAGATTCTCATCCAATTTTTTTTTAAATCGAGGTGGGCGGCTTTTATTTTATATTTTTTCAATTTTGCAGATTTCTTATTGACCTGGTCAATCGGTGTAATTTATCTACAATACCCGAAAAAAAGTCATAGTAAAGGTTCAATTATCTCTTACTTCACATCATCACCAATCTTTTTCAACCAATGACCCTTGTTTAAAATATATACGCATGTATTACAGCAATTACTTTCTTTTCAGCTGTCAAAATAATGTCGACTTTACATCCATGTATATATGTAAAACATGAAAGTAGAATGGTAGATGAATACAAATCCCAATCAGAATTAAGACAAAGAAAAAATGAAAAAAAAAATCGAGGCAGGGGTATAAAATCAGGGCAGGCGGAGATGAGAATCTAGGAATATTTTTATTATGGCTTTATGTCATTATAAATAGAAATAGCTCTGCTGGCATATTTTCCATGATGATGGGCCAGCACGCATCATGGAATATGCAATTGCTATTCATTATGCCCTGTTCACTGAAAAACATTGTTTATTTCTTAAATTATACCTGCCTTGTGATGTAGGGAGTCGTGTTCTATTTATAACACTATACCTGAGTAATGATGTAAGGAGTCGTGTTCTATTTATAACACTATATCTGAGTGGTGATGTAAGGAGTCGTGTTCTATTTATAACACTATACCTGAGTGGTGATGTAGGGAGTCGTGTTCTATTTATAACACTATACCTGAGTGGTGATGTAGGGAGTCATGTTCTATTTATAACACTATACCTGAGTGGTGATGTAGGGAGTCGTGTTCTATTTATAACACTATACCTGAGTGGTGATGTAGGGAGTCGTGTTCTATTTATAACACTATACCTGAGTGGTGATGTAGGGTGTTGTGTTCCATTTATTACATTATACCTGAGTGGTGATGTAGGGTGTTGTGTTCTATTTATAACACTATACCTGTGTGGTGATGTAGGGAGTCGTGTTCTATTTATAACAATATACCTGAGTGGTGATGTAGGGAGTCGTGTTCTATTTATAACACTATACCTGAGTGGTGATGTAGGGAGTCGTGTTCTATTTATAACACTATACCTGAGTGGTGATGTAGGGTGTCGTGTTTTGTTTATAACACTATACCTGTCTGGTGATGTAGGGAGTCGTGTTCTATTTATAACACTATACCTGAGTAATGATGTAAGGAGTCGTGTTCTATTTATAACACTATACGTGAGTGGTGATGTAAGTTGCTGTGTTCTATTTATAACACTATACCTGAGTTGTGATGTAGGGTGTTGTGTTCCATTTATTACACTATACCTGAGTGGTGATG